TGGACATGCCTTCGTGCATACGGGATAGATGGTCAGCTGCGTCAGAGTTAATGGCGCTAAGTCAAAAGCCTTTCAACGTCGGACTTGGTATCCGCCAAAGCTGCGTCCTATCCCCTATCCTGTTTGTGTTGTACATAGATAGGACAGGAGCTGTCAAGGCGATGAGGGTATCGGTGTAGGAGATGTGAAGTCGAGAAGGTTGCTGTCTGCAGACGACCTTATTTTATTAGCATCTTCTGAAACTGATCTTCAGTGCTCAATAAAAGGTTCGTAGCCGAGTGCGACGTGACCGGCATGCGTGTGAACGCATCTGAAACGAAAAGCCTACTGCATTCTCGTTCGTCTGCCCGTTGCTCTCTTCAGATTAACGAAGATGCAATGGAAGAGATGGAGAAGTTCAAGCACCTCGCAGTCGTATGTAGTAGTGATGGAAAATTTGAGGTGGAGATCGCCGAATGGCGTATTCGAGAAGTTAATGGCATTCTGTGTGAATTAGTCGAATCAGTGTGACTAAAGCAGAGCTCAGTCTGAAAACTAAGCACTCGGTGTTCAAGTCATTCCCATGCTTACCTACGGTCATGAGTCAACGACCATGTGAGAAGCTTCGATACTGGGTACAAGCTGCCGAGTCGTGGGCCCTACGCGTCTCCAAATGATCCGGAATACAGACATCCGCAAAAGCGTAGGCGTACAGACACTGCTTCTTCAGACTGAGAATTAATAACTACAATGGTTTGACATGTGTTGCGAATGCCTCTTGAAGGGAAGGCTAAGCGACTGTTTCTTGCAAATCCGACCGGCAGAAGGCCCGGAGGACGGCCAAGACTAACATGATGCAAATGTATGGAAGGAGTCTGTTCCAGGTTTCAGTTGTCTTCTGCCTAAGCTCATACTAGGACACACGATCGGGAACACCAGAAGCACTGGCTGACGCGCCTGCCTCCACGACTCGAAAGTAGCAGTAGTCATGGAAGAAGATAAAACTGATTTTTTGCTTTCCTTTACTACCACTTTGTGGGAAAGAAACAGACGACTATAAGCTAAGCTTCTGAGACAGGTGCCGTCGGCTGTCCTTAAAAAATAAACTACTTGTGGCTGATGACATGAAAATGGAGATCAGCGTCCTCAAAAAGAATAAATTCACAAAAAAAGGCGTCAGAAATGGCCAAATAAGGGACATGTAACGAAAATTTACATTCTACCAGTTACAAGCTTTTCTTGACTTTCTTCCCTTCGTAACTGCAGTCACACAAAGGACTTAGAGCAAACATTAAACAGCAACGATCTACCGCATGCTATCATACTTGTACCACATTTGTTAACAAATTGCAGCTAAAGAGCGGTATTATTCTGACTGCCAACATCTTATATGACGACCGGTAAAATTTACGAACAATCGTTTTCAGCTCTGTTTCTCAAAGCCTCGTAAAATCGTTGGAAAGTTAGCAGTAGGTCAATGAATTACTTCAATAGTTCACATGTTTCCTTGAACATGCTATGAGGTCTGGATGACTCGGGCTTTACCGTTGACTCCATGCAGTGCCCGGTAAGCGCGAAATATATGACCGACTCTAGATACAGCAGGATGCGTACCGTTTTGTCAGAGCTCTAAACCGGTTCTGATTAGCATTAACAGGGTGGCGATTTAAACGTACCTGCGCATCTGCAAGGTGCTTGATTTTCTTTGCCTTTTCAAGGTAGTATTTCGGCTCATCTTCGGTGAAATTAACATCAGCCGGTTTCGTCGGCGCCCGGGATAGCATACCTTCCAGCATCTAGAAAAAATGCTGTTACACTCGTTTTGGAACTTGGAACTACGAATAACAAAAAGTAGAGCAATAAATAGAAGCAGAACGGAATATAGTTGGGCAGGGATATAAATGTCGGTTAGAGTGGGTTGATTTTTGTAAGCGGATATTCCAGGAGCTACAATCGGAACAGAAAACATCTAGCAGAGGCAACTGCTTGTTTCGGTCATTAAACCCGTTGTTGGTCGAATTAATTCAGTTTTATTCGTCTTTGTTTTACGTATTGCAACATGTCATTAATGTGCATAACTTGAATCAAACACTTTTGACTTAAAGCCCTTTATTTCTGTCTTTTCTCTTTTCGTACCCCGATTATTAACGCTCTGGCCTGAAACGTCGTCCTTGTACGTTTAAGCACTGTATCAGAAATTATTCTGTTCTGAGGACCCGCTACTTGAAGATAATACACATCACAACGAATACTAAACCATTAAACGGATTCAGTCGTACCTCGTTTTCGATCTTGACCTTCTTTGGAGCGTGCGAAGACTTTTCTACGACGTCACTTTTGGTGGCCGATGACAGGCTTCGCTTAACGCCATGCCCACTGTCATCCTTCTTAGGCTGCTGTTCGAAAAGTGCTGCCACCGGACTTTCTTTAGCAGTTCTCTTATCAGATCGCGACTTATGTCTCCTTTAAACAGAAGTTACAACAACAAGGCTGAATGTCAAAGGTTTACTGTTTGGTCGGCGTGAGATGATGGTTGTCGTCCTCAGACTGTACAGAGTTTTCTTTTTTCACACCGTTCTGAACGCCGTCGGTTTTTGGTTCGGCGGCCTTCAGCGACTTCTGGAATCCCTCGAAGCTCAACCTCTTGGTTCTGTGAATAATGGGGACATCGTCGAGGTCCCTGTCCGTGCCGAGATCTTTCATGACGCCTGGTTGGTTGATGACCGTCGATAGCGCCGGTTTCGGCGGATCCGCAACACGCGGCGAAGAAGCAACGGCTTGACGAGGTTCCACGACCTCATGGACAGCAGCGCTCCTAGTCACACCGTTCTCCGCGGCATGCATCTGCGCCATTACAGGCGAAGGGATGCGGTCCAACAGGTTCAAATTCAAACGGCACATCAGCGAAGGCACTCCGTTGAAGTACTCCAAAGGAGGAAACTCGTGTATCGGAGAAAGAAGGGGAGAGAGCTGAGATTCGCGCAGGATCACTTCCGCGTTCTTTTTGAAACTCCTGCTGACGTGGTTCACGTCCGTGGCAGACAGCTCCGTAATGTTCTCCTTTCCGGGACTATAGGCACTGGCATCGGGAACGCGGTTGGACTCGGTTAACGAATTAGAACTGCTTTTGTTTCTCTTGCCTTGTTTTTTGTCTCTTTTCACCTGTTTAGTATTCCCATTAGGCGGATGATCATCAACAGTACGCTTCCGCTCTTTCTGACGTTGTTGACCCGTCGTTCCAGTGGTGGTAGTGGTAGCAGCCACCTCATTGGCACTTAAAGCAACATCGTTTGCGCAGGGCTCGGCGACGACCGCTGCTTTCACCGGTTCGTCATCGGTATCGTTGAAGAAAACCGAAGGAAACGGGGTCAACCCGTCGACGGCAGCAGAGGCGGCGACGTCTTCGTCGACGTTTTCCTCGTTTGCGCCATCACCTAGAGGAGAGCTGACTCCGTTCGGCAGACCGATATCGCTCTCATCGTCGAACAAGTTGTCAATGTGCGCTTTGAACGAGTTCGAGTCGGAGCAGCCGATCGCCATGTGACCCGCCGGAGGAA